TAAAATAATTTTGTGCATTTCCATCTTCGACGGGTTATATGAATCATAATATGCCTTTTTGGCATCTCTGTCGTGGTATTTGCCAACACGTATATGCCTGTTGTGCCCTATAAATTGTGCTCTTAATGAAAAGCAAGTATTTTGCTTACTTAGGAAGCCAAAGAATAGTCAATTTAATTTCGAATGTTTAACGATCTATATTGATATTCGATGTAAAGAAAGATATTTATCATATTGAGGATGGGTTCGTGCGAAATATACTAGTCCGAAAAAATTTCCTTTCTCTAGCGGCTCAGGATTTGTTTTTTACTTATTTCGAATGTAATGTTGTGTAATGACCGCCCTTAATATGATATGTTTGTTCGTAAAGTTTCAGTATTTTATCTCAAGATACTCGTACTCCTAATTTGCAATATTTATATATTTGATTTTAAGTAATTATGTATTATATATATATTAATGTTCATTTATTATGTCTGTTTTAGATTTTTCGAGAATTTGGTGTTAGTGGAAAATCTATGTTTAATTTTGTTAATTTGTTTTTATCTATTTACATGATTTAATCAATTGAATTCATAAATCATAAAAAATAAAAGTGCAATATTAAAGAAAATATCGACTTTTATTCTAAAAAATCACATTGAACAAATATTTATCAAACCTTCATTGCGTATCCTATTGCAAAGTGTCCCTCTGAACAATATTCTATATCACTCCAGCCACCTAACGAGCCGCCATTGTCGACTGTCAACGTCGATATGTCTGAAACAAAAGAATAATTAAAGGTTTTGTTTTAGGTTTATGCTCTTATAATATACTAGATTATGGAGTGTGTGTCCGAGTGAGAACTTCTCTATGTTCATTACTTTAGGAATATTTATCAAAAAGTAGTTTTTCAATTTTTTATTACAGGTCGCATTAAATAACAAAATTTTAATCCTGGTAACTATGCTGAGTTAACATTCAAATTTAACGTACGATTTTCACTTTCATCATACTGTGCAAATAACGGAATACACATGTGCACTGGTGCCTTTGATAGACAAATTTCATTAAGTTTACACTCATGACCTTTGCAAGGACCTTCAAATTCCTGAAAAAGAAATTTATTTGCACAAATAGTGTTAAGAGTGTACGAATATTTTTCTCATACACCGTAAATGAATAAGTTGTTATAAAAACACTTCACAGATCATTTTGGCCATTGATTATTATTTTGTTTAATTTGTGAATATGACAATACAGAATATTATTAGCCTATTGCGTCTCTTTGGGCTGCCCACAAAATGTTTGTCAATATAACGGAACTACAAGTGGGAGGTTTAGCTAACTTTAAAACCAGGTCAAATCCACCATTTTGTACATAAGGAAATGCCTGTCCAAGTCAGGAATATGACAGTTGTTTTCCATTCGTTTGATGTGTTAGAGCTTATGATTTTGCCATTTGAGAAGGGACTTTCCGTTTTGAATTTTCCTGGAGTTCGGTATTTTTGTTATTTTACTTTTTTCAAGCCTTAAACATGTATATCAATCTAAATTGTAAATGAGTCGGATGCAATAATCTGTAACAGATTAATCTTTAAACGATTGTAAGTTGCAGATCACCTTGAACATACATTCCTAATCTCGATCACCAACATGTACTAAGCTAAAAATATAGCGACTTTGTTAGCAAAGGTCGAATGTCTGGGTAATCTAGACAAACAAACGCAAAGAACAGAAACATCTTTTGCGAACCAAAATTACGTTATATGCTTTGTATTGCCGTGTTTGGATTTTGTGTTTTATTGCATTCTTGTTATTGTAATCTACTTATGACACAGAGATGACGTCAACTTGTTCACTAGGAACCCTGGAACTAATAGCGTCATTGTAATCAGCAACCGTCTATCAATGAAATCACATTTTTTGCAAACAATGCTTTAAAAATAGTCATACATACTAGACAGTATCTGCAATTTACTTTGATAAAAAGGCTAGTCGAACAAGTAGGAATGACAATGAAGGCCTAAACATTATGGTGGGGTATCAAACCACATTACACATGTAGTGAGGCCTAATACAAATTCGATGAAAATATCATTCACATATATCTTTTCGATACTTAGTAAATAAACTACCAAATTGAATAAAAATATGTAAATCTTGGTACTTATTTTTAATGAAAATGTGCACATTTTAAAATTACAAATGATATGTAAAACAAATCTCTCATATCTATTAATGTTTTTATTATATATAATTTTGTTTTTCTTGTTCTCAGTACAGACATTCACTTAGCGTAAAAATTGAATTATCTGTTCAAAATATGTAAAAGAGAGGCAAAAGATACCACAGGGACATTTGAACTCATTAGTCGAAAATAAACTGACAACAGCATGGCAAAAAAGAAAAAGAAAAGAAAAAGACTAAAACACAAACAACAGTTCACAAAATACAACATAGAAAAGAAATGACTGAGGAACAAGAATTCCACCAAACACCAGAGGTAATCTCAGGTGCTCCGAAAGTGAGATCCTGCTCCACATGTGGCACCCGTCGTGTTGCTCATGTAAATACAAACCCGGTGAAAAGTTTAATTCGTTAGGTCACATTCAAGGGATGGGAATGTGGTTTTGACATTTGGTACATTTCTCTCGTTATTCGTGAAACAGGTATATCATAACGGTCAATCAACTCTTAATTGCGTCTGTAGTTTTTACGAAGGGATTATTTCAACTTTACCACCTGGAACTCTTTCAAAATGTGTACGATCATGGAAAATAATTGACTTGAATTGGATTAAAAAATACAGACAGTCTATCCGCTCGGTCTTAACGATACTATCATGGGAATTTGTAATGTATCAAGAACCGATTCTGTTAACATTTTGGATACAATTTCTTAAACTGTTGGTAAATCCGTTTTCATGGACGTAGAATAAATCGCAACTAGAGAAAAATTTGTACTCACGATACAAATATTTCGGACCTAATTACTATTTCAAAAAACATCGGCAGAGATTATCTGTTAACCAGGCTCCGTTCTTTACCAGTTAATAGATTACATAAGATTTTGGATAATTGAAAAACAATTCCATATTGTGTTTCTAAGTATGAAATCGTACAAATGATAATTGCATATTCATGAAACTGTTATTCTAAATTGATCGCCCTGAAGATCAAAAAAAAAAAGATTTTTTATTTACTAGATTAGAGCTCGTGGACATAATCAAACCGATCGATATAATTGCATCAACCAACTTTAAGTACAAAACAATAGCAGTATTGTGATTACAAAATTATAACAACAAAACATCGAGAATTTTGTTACATTTTTTAAGTTTTTCGTTTGTTTCATTACACAATTGAATTAAGAGTTTTCTGATGAAGGCGCACATAGTCGTTGTCTAATGCAGATCAGTCAAACACATATTTAACTATAACTCGGAGGAATAATATATGACTTTGTACATTATTTACATGAAACTATCAACGTTCGGAATCATTGAAGAAAAGCATCCAAGATCGATTTTAAGGAAAAAAGTTCTTTCTTGCACCGACTTAATCCAGATCCGTAATTAAGATACTAAAAATTCTGTACTAGTAATGACCTGAATAATTCAGTCCCTCCACGTGATCTACTCTCCCACTCGTGACTTAATGTAGCCATCGTACATGTAGAGGATCGGAATATAACGAATCAATTATTCTGGTTATACTTGTGTAATGTGAACAAAGAAGCTATGTGCTAAACAAAAATTATCATTTTACGATAATATTTAGTTGAATTAGATATGAGCGACAACTTTACGCAGAAAATTGTAATTTTTAGTGCAATAAGTCATGCGGTTGCTGTCTCATTGGTATATACCTTTCAATCATTAGCTTATAAATACATCCATCATTGCTATATATTTCCAAGCTTGTGTCATGGTGTCAAATGCCGTGTTTCTGTTTGGCTACTTGTCAAGGTGTAAAATGCCGTGTTTCTGTAATTGGCTACTTGTCATGGTGTAAAATGATGTGTTTCTGTAATTTGCTAATTGTTATGTTGTGAAATATCGTGTTTCTGTAATTTGAAAATTGTCATGGTATTAAATGCCGTGATTCTGTAATATCCTACTTGTCATGGAGTAAAATGGTGTGTTTCTGTTATTTGATTATTGTCATGGGGTAAAATGCCGTTTTTCTGTAAATTGATAATTGTCATTGTGTGAAATGTGTTTTTGTGATATGCGAATTGTCGTTTTTATGTGTAATCCCGCGTATTAATTATACGCACAACTAAGATTACATCTTATGAATTAAAGGCGACGTAATCGTTGACAAGGAGTAGTCTTACATTTTATACTTATTTTGACAGCATGTCTAAACGTATTGTTATTTCATACATTTTTCCGCGGGAAGAGGTGCTGTGGGATTGGGATAATAAATATCTTGCCAGGTACAAGTATAAAATCTTACCCAAGACTGATGCACATGTATACTCTACCGGAAAAAAAACTATTCCTGACAACCCTCCCCTTATTTTTTTACATTATAGCAAGTAGGTAATGCCTAAAAGTCTTCAATGATTTAATAGTTAAATTCAATAAACGTGTTTCTCTCATATTTGTACACATTTAAACTCGTATTAGCCTATATATCTGAGAAGATGATTCATTTAATTATTTATGAATTGTACCGATTCTTTAATTGATTCATTTTTTTTCCACGGAATATGTGTTTATTCAAATAGTGTGTAAAAAGTTTAACTAGCTTGGTTTACTAAGCAAATCATTGTATGATATAAGCTAGATCTTTAAATTCCATTCTTTGTTTGACTGGCCTTTTGGTTTAGAAATATCAAGGTTATAGTCTAAAATCAACGCAATATTGTAGACATGTCATTGTCTAGAGGTCAAGTTTTGTCGTACGAGCAGAAACAATACCTGTTTGAATCATTCGCCCGAATCACAATTCAACGTTTCAAAACAATAGATATTTAATTTTCTTAAATTACGCATGGATAAATATTATATAACTGTGTGTGAGTGTATGAAAAGGGTATTTTAACGTAAAAGTAAATGGAATTACTTCAAAAGTAGTGACAAGGAAGACAACAGATTAATTTTAATCCGTACATTATAATTACATCTGGAAAAAATCGAAATGAAGTTTTTCCCAATTGTTTTTGTGTTATGGATTCCAAATATTTCATGTTTTCTTAGATGGCCACCTCACGACAACGTTGAATACAGAGGTAAGAGTCTGTAAAATTCTATAATTCTAATTTTGAACGCAAAGAATACAATGATCGAAGTGGTTTCAAATGTTTCAAAAAGTAATGGTTCACGAGTTGGTTATTCTCCGTAGTTATAAATAAAAGAATATGTGTGGTATAAATGTTAATAAAACAGGAGTAATATATTATGAATACTGTATATATGGGACTTCAAATGATATTTTTTATCTTGTAAATTTTGTATATGTTTCTGCCTCCATTGTTTTCGAGTACATGTATAAACAATCCAAAATTACCACCCTTCTTCCCTGTCTCACCACGTTGCAGAGAAAACACCTATATTTTATTAATAGTTTCACGTCCTGAATATGCATAAGACAATTAAAGTTAAAGACGAAAGCAAAGAAACATAGATACAACAAGATAATTCTCTGCTGTCAAATACAGGTACCAATCGACGAAAACAATCATTTATAAACTACATCGTCCCCCTCCTCAAGATTGTACGGTGCTAGGTTTTGCTATTCATGCTCCCTGCACTAAATATTGACACAACTGGTTCGAACTTGATGTGTATGTATATCATAACCGGACATAATTGTCATCTGGTAACGTACAGATGGAGCTACATATACATGATATATGCTTAATGCATAGACTTTGTACATGTCCATCTCCAAACGTTGAATAATTTGCCCCCTCCCCCTTTACTAAATCCTGAAACCACTTCTGTTTCCATGTTTTTTTTTAAATTGTAAAAAAATAGAAAGGAATCTGTAATAAGCTATCATTTATATATACAGGATGGTCGGGATAGGGGGCTTACACAGAATATAGAATAATGAACAAAAGGGGTAAGGACAAACAATATAAAAAATAAGAGAACAGTAGGCCAAACAATAGAGGATAGATAATAATATGTTGCGCAAATATTGAAAAAAAAAAAAAACGAATAATGGGACAAAACATAATGATTCAAATAGAAAAAAAAAATGACCTAAAAATTAAGAATTACTGATATTAATTACCCCTCCTCCTCAATAAAGACACTCATACAGGAATGTCATATAAAGCCTTTATGAGGTGTTAGTGATGTTAAGGTGCTAAACACCATCCATCAATCAAACAATCAGCAAGTCAGACTTAAGGAAGGGTGATTTGAAGAACAAAAGTTGACGGATGCTAGTTTGCTTGCTATTATCAATCTTAAATCATCATTTGATTTTCTCTCATAAAAAAAAATTGAAATCACCCCCGAAAAAAAAAAGTGCAGGTTTATACAATGACGGCCTTCAATATAAAAAAAAGAAGATGTGGTGTGATTGAAAATTGATAATAAGACAACTCTCCACAAGAGAGCAAATGACACAGAAATTTACAACTATAAGTCACTGTACGGTTTTCTACAATGAGTAAAACCCATACCGCATAGTCAGCTATAAAAGGCCCCGAAATGACAAATGCAAAACAATTCAAACGGTTAAGCTAACGGCTTGATTTATGTACAACATAATGAATGAAAATCAAATATGATATACAGCAACGTGTATTTTTAGACACGTAACTGCATGATTAACTTATATTAAACGTGAAATTGCACTCAATAGAATGAACTTAAAACAGTCACCACTATACATATCCTTCTTAAAACGAAAAACTATTTCCAATGTTTGTTCTAGGTGCATATTGATTCGTACTTTTTAGTATCAAAATAAAGTTCTTCTCAATTATTTGTGCTGTGGAATCCAAATATGTCATTATTTCTCAGATGGTCATGTCATGACCAAGTGGAGTACAAAGATAGGAGTCTGAAAAATTACGATTTCTTAATTTTAAACGCAAATAGTACAATAAAGCGTCTCTAGTGCGAATCAGGCATGGGGGAATGCAAATTTTAATTGTAATGCATGGTAATGCACTACATTTTTCCAAGTAATTGCATGTAATGTGTGATACAGAAATTTTTGCATTACATGTAATTGTAATGTAATGCGTTACTTTAGCAAAAAGTTGTATAATTTCTTGCATTACATTGCATTATATGACATTACTTTTATCACATACTATGTATCTTTAATAGATTTTTGGGTATTTAACTAAAGCAGAATTTAAGATTCCTTGATTAACTGAGAACATAATCATTTGAAAATTGGTTTTCTATTTTCTATTCATTTTTCACACTTTACATAAATCACTAGATAGAATGACACAACACTGTATATTAGAGTTTTTTTTATTTCATTTTATTTCATACATTCTCCTGCACAAAACGATTGATATTTGAAAAGCATTACTGTAAAAGTGTTCCATTGTTGTCAAAAGACCAATAAATACCTTGTCATGATTGAATAACAGATAATTCAACATTGTCATAAAACAATAATTAGTTTGTTTTACAATCAATCTTTTCACCATTTTGACACTTTGTCATAGATTTATTTCTATGTTTATTATATAATTTGGAAAGACATTATCTGTAAATATTTGGATTGAAATAAAAAAATAAGTGTATATTTATAAAGGTAAAGTTAACATTAAGTTCAAATAAGTATTTAACTTCATCTCTGTATTTTTTTAAAGAGAAAACACAGAGATGTATACCTTGAAACATTTTTAAAAATCATAGATAGAAGAGCAATAAACTTTATAGGTTTTGTGAAACAATCGGGTAGTCAGAAATATCATTTGAAAGTGTTCCGGACTGATAGAATGTGCATGAAGGATGACACCGTTCGAATCACCTTTTACATGTCTACTTAAATTCAATATATGGAATAGTTTCTGGATATGCTAGAATTTTTTTGTGACTTGATGTTGTTTTTCATAATGTTTTTCACTTGATAAAAAATTTACAAAATGCAATGTGCTATTCAATGCATTACTTTGCAAAAGCAATTGTAATTTAATGCATTAATTTGATAAAAGCATGTAATTGTAGTTCAATGCATGGTTTTGTCAAAGTCATAATTGTAATATAATGCATTACATTGCAATGTAATTCGCCCCATGCCTGATGCGAATGTTTTCAAAAGTAACATACACAATTTAAGTTATAAAAAACGTCATTTTGACTTTTTCAATTGTTACAAAGAAATGAAATGTGTATTCTTAAACTTTAAGGTACAGAATAAGTAAATTTTGTGTAATACTTAGGCTTGTATTTGACTATAAAATTGTCTTTGGAATCTTTATCAAATGTATATATATATTTTGCTTGTCTCATACACGTACCAACAGAAAAAAGACCAGTCCTAACATGCTTTTGGATGTTCGCTCATCTGTTTCAAAATAACAAGCTTTTTAAAAGACTGTTAGAAATTGATAGTATATAAATAACGGAACTTAAACAGTAGAAAAAATTACAGGTCCATGTCCTTGACTTTGATATATTATCAAATGAAATTTGGAGGGAAATGATTTTCATTGGATGTTTCATATTTTAAAACGGCACATTTTTTCTTCAAGAACTGTTAAAAAATATTAAGGACTTTTAAACTATATGTAATAAGATTATGAAAAGAAAAGTAGGGATTAGCTTGCAAAATGTTTTTTAGTACTACATGGATAAAACAAGAGGATTCCGAAAAAATCTTACAAAACAAAACAAGTAAAGCGAACATTCTTAACCTAATTGTTTGTTTTTTTTCCCCAAAGTTGAAGTGTTTTGTTTTGTTTTGTTCCCGACGCTGAATGTAGACACATCTTGACCCCTAAGCTTGTATTGCATAACTGACATCTAGTACTACACAGATAACATATTCCTGAAAAAGTAGAAAAGCAGGAAAGAATCAGTAAGAAGCTCAATTGTGTATACATATAATGGTATGGGTGGGGTTAACAGAATATATAACAATGGTCAGTAAAAGGATAATAACGGGGAAAAAACAAAAGAGAAAAATAAAAAAAATAATGGGGGAATGAAATGTTAAGAATAATAAACAAATGGTGGAAATAAATAAGGAACAGAACGAAATGATCTAGACATTTAAAACATACGATAGTGAAGGCTACCATCCATTCAGTCCCATCATATAGCAATAAATACATCAGTCAGTCAGACTTAGGAAAGGATCATTTAACTAAACAGGGGGATAGTTCGATTTTTGAATTACAAATGTATAATTTCCCATTGTGTTTTCTCTTATCTCGAGTCCATGTATAAACTATGACGTCGCACAATGTATGTTAAGACAAGTATGTTTGTCCGTTATTGTTTAACTTATATTAAACTAAATATATTGAAATCAGAAGAATTTACGTAAAACAGTCATTGAATATAGACCCTGCTTAAGAGAGAGAGAGAGAGAGAGAGAGAGAGAGAGAGAGAGAGAGAGAGAGAGTATTTGGAATATAATTTAGAAAAGGGGGAGGAGGCAAAGGTTAGAGAAATCAAACGAGCAAAAGGTCTAAAAGCAACTGACAAGCTGCGCGGCAAGATTATGACTGAGTAATGCAATTAATGTAAAGGAAGAAATTATTTCTTGTTATGCATCTACATAACTTTTTGTTGGTTTTATGGATGGATACGTTTCGACATTTACGATGTATATATATATATACATTTATCAAGAATGGGCACGATTACTGACAAATATAATCCATTAATAATAGATTACCTTATCAAAAGTAATTACATAACTTTGTGATTACTGTCAATTACATTCTACAAAATTATAAAACAAAACTTAAGTATGTTAGACATAATTATGTTGTCCAATATACAATGTACGTATAGTGGAAATTTAGCACTTAGCAAAAAAAAAAACAAACATTGAAGCATGGTTTACAAATTTTATGTAAACAGTAGTTTTCTAGATGGAAGCTCTTACTGAAGATCTGAAATATTCAAAAGTTCTCTGAAAAACACTGTATATTAGAGTTTTTTTTATTTCATTTTATTTCATACATTCTCCTGCACAAAACGATTGATATTTGAAAAGCATTACTGTAAAAGTGTTCCATTGTTGTCAAAAGACCAATAAATACCTTGTCATGATTGAATAACAGATAATTCAACATTGTCATAAAACAATAATTAGTTTGTTTTACAATCAATCTTTTCACCATTTTGACACTTTGTCATAGATTTATTTCTATGTTTATTATATAATTTGGAAAGACATTATCTGTAAATATTTGGATTGAAATAAAAAAATAAGTGTATATTTATAAAGGTAAAGTTAACATTAAGTTCAAATAAGTATTTAACTTCATCTCTGTATTTTTTTAAAGAGAAAACACAGAGATGTATACCTTGAAACATTTTTAAAAATCATAGATAGAAGAGCAATAAACTTTATAGGTTTTGTGAAACAATCGGGTAGTCAGAAATATCATTTGAAAGTGTTCCGGACTGATAGAATGTGCATGAAGGATGACACCGTTCGAATCACCTTTTACATGTCTACTTAAATTCAATATATGGAATAGTTTCTGGATATGCTAGAATTTTTTTGTGACTTGATGTTGTTTTTCATAATGTTTTTCACTTGATAAAAAATTTACAAAATGCAATGTGCTATTCAATGCATTACTTTGCAAAAGCAATTGTAATTTAATGCATTAATTTGATAAAAGCATGTAATTGTAGTTCAATGCATGGTTTTGTCAAAGTAATAATTGTAATATAATGCATTACATTGCAATGTAATTCGCCCCATGCCTGATGCGAATGTTTTCAAAAGTAACATACACAATTTAAGTTATAAAAAACGTCATTTTGACTTTTTCAATTGTTACAAAGAAATGAAATGTGTATTCTTAAACTTTAAGGTACAGAATAAGTAAATTTTGTGTAATACTTAGGCTTGTATTTGACTATAAAATTGTCTTTGGAATCTTTATCAAATGTATATATATATTTTGCTTGTCTCATACACGTACCAACAGAAAAAAGACCAGTCCTAACATGCTTTTGGATGTTCGCTCATCTGTTTCAAAATAACAAGCTTTTTAAAAGACTGTTAGAAATTGATAGTATATAAATAACGGAACTTAAACAGTAGAAAAAATTACAGGTCCATGTCCTTGACTTTGATATATTATCAAATGAAATTTGGAGGGAAATGATTTTCATTGGATGTTTCATATTTTAAAACGGCACATTTTTTCTTCAAGAACTGTTAAAAAATATTAAGGACTTTTAAACTATATGTAATAAGATTATGAAAAGAAAAGTAGGGATTAGCTTGCAAAATGTTTTTTAGTACTACATGGATAAAACAAGAGGATTCCGAAAAAATCTTACAAAACAAAACAAGTAAAGCGAACATTCTTAACCTAATTGTTTGTTTTTTTTCCCCAAAGTTGAAGTGTTTTGTTTTGTTTTGTTCCCGACGCTGAATGTAGACACATCTTGACCCCTAAGCTTGTATTGCATAACTGACATCTAGTACTACACAGATAACATATTCCTGAAAAAGTAGAAAAGCAGGAAAGAATCAGTAAGAAGCTCAATTGTGTATACATATAATGGTATGGGTGGGGTTAACAGAATATATAACAATGGTCAGTAAAAGGATAATAACGGGGAAAAAACAAAAGAGAAAAATAAAAAAAATAATGGGGGAATGAAATGTTAAGAATAATAAACAAATGGTGGAAATAAATAAGGAACAGAACGAAATGATCTAGACATTTAAAACATACGATAGTGAAGGCTACCATCCATTCAGTCCCATCATATAGCAATAAATACATCAGTCAGTCAGACTTAGGAAAGGATCATTTAACTAAACAGGGGGATAGTTCGATTTTTGAATTACAAATGTATAATTTCCCATTGTGTTTTCTCTTATCTCGAGTCCATGTATAAACTATGACGTCGCACAATGTATGTTAAGACAAGTATGTTTGTCCGTTATTGTTTAACTTATATTAAACTAAATATATTGAAATCAGAAGAATTTACGTAAAACAGTCATTGAATATAGACCCTGCTTAAGAGAGAGAGAGAGAGAGAGAGAGAGAGAGAGAGAGAGAGAGAGAGAGTATTTGGAATATAATTTAGAAAAGGGGGAGGAGGCAAAGGTTAGAGAAATCAAACGAGCAAAAGGTCTTAAAGCAACTGACAAGCTGCGCGGCAAGATTATGACTGAGTAATGCAATTAATGTAAAGGAAGAAATTATTTCTTGTTATGCATCTACATAACTTTTTGTTGGTTTTATGGATGGATACGTTTCGACATTTACGATGTATATATATATATACATTTATCAAGAATGGGCACGATTACTGACAAATATAATCCATTAATAATAGATTACCTTATCAAAAGTAATTACATAACTTTGTGATTACTGTCAATTACATTCTACAAAATTATAAAACAAAACTTAAGTATGTTAGACATAATTATGTTGTCCAATATACAATGTACGTATAGTGGAAATTTAGCACTTAGCAAAAAAAAAAAACAAACATTGAAGCATGGTTTACAAATTTTATGTAAACAGTAGTTTTCTAGATGGAAGCTCTTACTGAGGATCTGAAATATTCAAAAGTTCTTGAAATTTTGGTTTCAACATAAGCATGATAAGTGAGTGGTGACAAGGATTTGTATAGTCTAACTATACAAATCTTTGGTAGTGATAAAGTTCTTGCAATGACATTGCATTGTATCAATCACTTCTTCATAGTTTAAGTAATTTTTTTCATATTTTGAAAAAAAAATTGTTGTCATACTGACTTAAGTTAGGTTTTTTGTTTTAACTCATTATAAACAGGTATATTTATTTGAAAATAGTTCATTACAATGTTGGAAGTTTCGTTTGAAAAAAAAAAGTATATTAAAAGTAGAAGAATTAGTTAGTACAGCTAATTTTAGTGATTGAAATTCATATTATGTATGTGCACGACTGGAAGGTAACTGATTACTGCTATCAGTGCCAATAGTATAACAAAAAAGTCATACTAGTACGTAATCCGTCTTGAACGTAATCCGTCTTGAATGCAATAAAACAATGTTTGAGCTGCTTTTGCAGATATACATTTCCATATTTTGCTAATAGGGACTCAGACTGCCAAAAATAGTGAAAGCTTTCGAAAAAATATCGCAGAATGGTCTCTTTGAAGAGGTATTTTATTTATAAAGAAGATTTATAATAATAAATTATTGCACTTTTCATAAATTATCTTTGATTTATTGTACAGAAGAAATTCCCGTTGAAATATCACAAGGTCAACATACAAGACGATCAGCAGACAACAGCTTTCATCCACAAACTTATGACCTTGACCTAAAAGTTGAAGGGTCACACGTTCATTTCCATTTAGTACGAAATGATGACATCAAGACTAATGTACCAACTTTATCCTTAAGTCAAGGAAAACTAACAGACGTCTACCCACAGGAACAAAAGGTAGATTTCTGCTTTTTAAAAGGTACCATTATAGTGTTTTCGCTTTTGTTGCGATGAACTACATGGATGACAAAATGTACTAAATACATGGTGTAAATAACAGAAGACTAATTCTTCGGCGGTAATATCGGGGAGAGGGCTGCATTACGCATCACTTGGTAAAGTTGTCCCATTTTAACTTTTGGTCATGCTCTTATCAAAGATATTTAGCTGAGGTTATTCCATTTTTTTATAACGCGTTTGAATTTGCTGACCCAAGGAAAATAATATAAAAATCTTTAAAACATATGTGGCTAATCTAGATTTACTTATTACAGGAGTCAATATTCTATCAAGATATAAAGAAAGGAGCATCGTTTATAGTCCAACAAGACAGAAAGCAGTCAGAAAGTATGGTAATATCGATATTAGCCAAGTTTCAATCTTTTTACTTCTTGTATTGTTAAGTTCTGTCGGACCAATCAACTGTTTAAAAGGGATGAGGATTCAACAATTTAGTTGATCGATTTATTAGTTATTTCAAAAACTGAATAATCGGAATATATACTATTCGTAAGCTACAAGAACCCCCGTTATAAATTCAACATGGACGATCTTCTAAATCTGAATTCTCGGAATATTGAGCGTATTGGAAGATATTCATTTAAAATTGCGTGGTAATAAGCTTAATTCTTGTGAACAAAATCTATATTTGTTTGGCGTATCGAATTTGACTTTGTACAGTATGCTGCCAAAAGACTTTCGCTAACTTAAAATACACCTTAAATACTAAAAACGAATCTTCAGATTATAACATTTTAAAGAATTTTATTAAATTATGTAATGGTTTTCTTTTCATTTTCCCCGTGTTGTAGCCAAGAATCCGCAGGCAAAATTTAAGATCAAGCTGACCATCTACTCACTTAACGAAGTATTTATGAACAGTAGAATAATTACTATAAAACGATCTTGAATAAAGTTCATTCAGATTTATGTTTAAAGTCATTGGATACGCACGTCTTTCTTGTAGTGGGATTGAAAGGATATTTATTTGTGTCTTTAAGTGGTATTTCGGGAGAGTAAAATAAACTAGAATTTATGCATATATGTTAATGGATTATGTGTGTTTTTCGTTTGATAACTATTGGATGTAGAATCGTCTGTGAAAAGTGAAATGGTACAACTAGAATGAATGTCCAGGTATGTAACACTCTAGTATAGGTTATTTAACTAATAACGGTGTGCTCGATTTTAAGTTATATCGAAAACAAAATGTGATTCTATATTTCAAACCATTTCATTCGATGAAATAAAATGAAACAAGAAAACAGTATTTCATGCAATACCCAACATTTCGTCTATCCCTTTTCTAGTTACAACGTACAAAACTTGTATGCATTTTTTTAATATAGCAATACAAGCAAACTGAAAGTTTTTTTCATTCTTCCCTATTATCAGAAAGGAAGCAAAAAAGTTTTAGAAACAAAAATCCGCATGATTAAAAGCATTTCTGGATTCCGTTTTAAATGTATTTAACTTAAGTGGACAACTACCTTTTAATTTCATGTAAACATTTATTTCAAGATTAACGCCGTTTATTTGCACTGCCGATATAACTGTTATTTTTGCCACTTGACATATAACAACAGTGAATGAATTCGATTATGTTACGCGTTTCTGTTGAAAATTGAATAAAAACCCCGCCCAATATTTAACACAAGCCTTATTCAAATGTTATACATACCCCCTCAAATTGTATTCATTAGTACTATATTTAAATTATAACAACGAACAATCAAATTAAATACCGAATACACCATTTTGATCATTTCAGTTTCTTGGACTATTTTTTCTATTAAACCACAATATTATTGTATAGACTATCCGAGTAATTTTTTTGTTTTTAATTTATATATATATGAAAATGCAAACGATTTTTGCTGTACAAAATCAAAATATTTCAAGGAAATGATATCTTAAACGGTAAAATTAAAATCAAATCTTTATGTGAAATATATTTGTCTCTTTCTTTCATTTTTGAATAATGTTATTGTGTTCAATATTACAATAGAATTCACTGACTCACACACAGTTAACACATTTGATATTTTGTAGACGCATAGAAGAGGAATTGGATGCAATAGAAAATATTCCTTTTTTACCCACTTGGATACTATCCGTGACAAAAATTCAGCCAAGATTTGCATCGGAAAAAATTAGAGGATTATATTGTTGAACTTTAGTGAATACGATATACTAATATACACGATGGAATTACGACTCGCAAATAAAAGCTGTTTGTTAATAATGCGATATTTAGTGCTCAATGTATTACTACGATCCAAATTTTAAAAAATCCAGTATCAGTCGTTTTAGTTAGATTTCATCTTCATTCAATATCGCGTTACGTCCTTTAGAATTATTCCAATGGGTGAACATTTTTTAAGAAAGTGCCCATGAAAATATCCTAAGGGCAAAACGTCCGGATGAATAAAGACGAACAATAGAAAATAGCTCTCCATTCCTGAAAAATAATGGAGAGTTTCAACAAAAGATTTACGTCACAGGTGTATTTTAAATTTGTGGAACGATTTTTAAAATATTGCTAAGCATATCATGGTAATCCTTTTTAATTATGATGTTTTTTTTTTATTTTTATGATCCTAAACATTTGAATACAATTTTCCGATCTGGGTTTTCGTTCGTTCCTCCGCCCGTCTTGTAACAGCTAAATAACGTTTTTGGTTTAATGAAGTTGAACATATGCTGAAAACTTAGTACATATGTTCATTGTGATTTGACATTTAAAAACATATTTGCCAAAATTCTCAGGATAAAATAAGGAGAGACGTTATAGGACATTGATTTGATTTATTTTTGAAGGAATTACTAATTATTAGGAATATTTATTTTTTGAGTGTGTTCATATTTTGTAATTTATCAGTGACTTTGATACAATGAAAACTAATTGTTTTTTCCTCTGCAAAGCATAAAACTATAAATATGACATGTATGATGAACTTAAATAAAAAAAAAAAAAAAAAAAAACATTGAACATCCAATCTCCTATTGTTACGGTGTAAAATAACTTTCTTCTCAATATATTACTTTTGTCTTATTGTTTTCAGCATAAAAAGTTTATTAAAAAACATTTTTATAACACAAAATACACTGTTAAACAGTTAAATGTTTCGCATTCTAAAAATCAGTTGACTCATCCTGGATATAAAACGATACTTGGAAAAGGACAAAAACTAAATGGAAGATCTAAAAACAGGACAGTTAGATGTGATACGTCTTTACCTGTAATTTGATTAAGTCAACACATTATCAAAATTCTAACTTTATAATAAAGACCAGGGCCCATATGCATAAAGCTACTTAAGCTAAGATTTGTTCTGAAAGGACGGATTTTTCTACATGTCCTACGATAAATTAGTACTACGAGTGGATTTCTTAATTTAAGCGGTTTTATGCATACGGGCCCAGAACATTTACTTATGCATTATTTGTCAAGCTTACGAAAAGAAAGCGTAGCCCTATTAAAACCCTGTGTATCGGATTCAACTTTCACATTCCTAACGACCATGGCTCCAAAACGAAAGCAAGTTACATGTAGCATTGATGTAAGTGCTAGACGAAACAAGTCAAGATGGCCATATCTTTTATACTGCAATATCTATATTGGGGCAAACAGATATCAGGATTGGGTCTTTATTTTCGAGTGAATTTGGGATTTACACTTATCGGGACTCGGGAATGGCTGATTTATTTTTCGGGATCCGGGAAAGATTTTTTTTATTTTTTCGGGAATTCGGGTTCACACACCCTCCTACCGTCCCTTTCAGTTACTCCTACCTTTGACAAATGCTACGATTACGCAAGTTTAACCCTTCTAAAAACATTGGTTAAAGAGTGCTTCGAAGTATCAAAATAAGGTCAAGTTTTGTGTTTGTTATGATTACTTTGTGGGAATGGGTTTTAACGCTACCCCCTTCACCTCCCTCTCCCCCCAAAAAAATTCTCGAAAGCCTTTACCAGCAAACATATATTGTATGCGAAAGTAATCACGCATTTCTGTATTTTCGAGCTTTCAGACATACAGTTGATATCTTAAATAGATGTTATCGACACCGATCATTTATAATGATTAAGAAAAAAGATAAGTAGATATAAGAAGATGTGGTATGAGTGCCAATGAGACAACTCTCCGTCCAAGTCACAATTTGTAAAAAGTAAACCGTTTTAGGTCATAGTACGGCCTTCAAAACAGAGACTTGGCTCACACCGATGGCATATCTTTTATACTGCCGAAAAAGTACATAGTTAACCCATAGCTATAATCAACTTTAAAAGAAAGTTACCTATACCGGTATATATAAACTAACTTTTGTTACGTAATAATTTCAAGGTGGCGTATTTATTGTATAAAACTAATAGCAATGATACGAAGCAAAAGCCATAAGCTTACTATCTGCATAAAGGCCAACAAATCTGTATTTGAAAATTAAATCTCCGTCACTCGTGGTATTCGAGATTCTATTGTCCGTATTAGATAAGCAGACCTTGAATCATGTGAAACAACCAGACAGCATCAGTTTACAATCCGGACAATAGATTTCTGAAGCTTATTTATCTACTTCTTGAGGAAAATTACACTTCCATGATTATATGGTCTATACAATTTCCACACAAGATCGACCTGTAAAGAGGAGATCAAAATTTGTGATTCTTATCTTAATGCTGATTGGTGATTAAATTACATTAAATTATACTGGATGATCTAAAATATAATTAGAACATGAACTTGTTCTACAGTTTTGGTTTTGCTCAGGTGACCTATACATTTGTAGTTGCTAACTTCCATGCACGTCATATAGTTTCTAGTAGAAAGTCTCGTTGGCAATCATATTTCATCTTTTTATTTTTATATTTAGCACTAATCACGAAAGCTTAAAATTTATAATTGTCACTTCGAACAAACTCATTCCAATTTTACAATATTTTGTAAGGTTGATTTGTGTAACTAAAACCACTTTGTATTTGATGTGTTTCCCTCAGTTTTAGTTTGTAACCCTGATTGGTTTTTTTTTTCTCAATCGATTTATGAATTTCGAATAGCGTTATACTACTGTTGCCTTTATTTTTGCCGAAGATGATATACATGTAGTTCCATTTTAATGTATTTGTTACCTTCATTATAGTTTGGCACTTTCAATTCTGGTGATGGCGGTTTTATTCTACAAACACCAAAAGAAAGGTTTTTGCCGCTACATTCCGGAAGCAACAGATTTGAAATAATTAAAGAAATTAGAAACCGAACAGAGTTTGGAGATGGATTACTAGTCGGTGAGTAGATTTTCCAGGCCATTTTGTCAAATAATCATTTATATCAAAATATGAAGACATTTACAAACATGTACCTACTATTGATACTCACCGATCGAACTACACAAAGATGAAAGTTCTACTTATTGTGTATATTTTTTAAGTTAGACCCATTGCATTACGATTTTGTATACAAACAGTATAACATATTATGCATTTTTATTGGGGAAGAATCTTTATTATCCAGTTTAAAAATACCGAGGTAAATTCAGTATCATACCTTTCAATTACGAAAAATGAAAATGTGTTCAATTATTATTCAAAACCTAGTAGCTTAGAATACAATTTAAATTTTGTCTATAACATACGCACACACCAAAACCTCACTGCCCCTAAACCAAAACACACAAAAAGCAAGACTAACAAGAGGAGAAAAAAAAAACAAACAAAACAGAAGCACAAAAAAAATCCAGACGCACAAACAATAAAACACAGGCAAACACAAAGATATAAACAAAAAAAGAAAACGAAAACAAGCAGCATTCGATCCAAATAACCGTAATTGGAAAAGGCAAAGATGTAGTGGTTTTAAATCAGTTTTACGCGTACACTGTAAGATGGAAGCTTGAACTACTGTCAGATATTCGTGTACTCGCGTTTCCGTTTATTCATATCTTATACTAAATATACATGTATTATACGACTTTACTAACTGGTTACCGTCAAATCTAAAATTTTATTTAAGATGTACCTTTTCACCTCCTCAAGAACACTTTTCCAACCATTGATCTTTGTCCTATCCAGCAACCAGCTTGTGAACTGATGTAGCCTTTAAACTGTAATATTATTTCATTGTAGGTGATAAAGTCTGCCTGTAAGAAAACGCCATCGACAGAAAAGAGCCACAGGATCGAACCAAATAGAACTTTTAATATTTTGTGACTATGCTATTTATGATTAGTAAGTAAAGTGGAAACAAAGAAATAGAAATAAGGAGGTTCACAAAGGGCGAAGACTGGTTTTAAAATTCCTTGAAGTTTGACATACGTTAAGCGTTAAAGAATTTAAGAAATACAAGATGAAAAGTCTAAAAAAAACAAAAAAAACCCAAAAAAAATAACTTTATAAATGGTGTCATCATGACGTCAAAATTGATACATATAAACATTAAATTTTATTTTGGGTAATCATTGCATCTGTATTTTGCTCAATCACAATCTTTACTACAGTGCGTGCATTGACTACCAAATTTTAGAGTTTTGAGTGGAATGTGTATAATCCATCAATACATCTTTCAGTTACAACTTTATATTGTTAAAAGCTAGTATAACATGTATAAGTCCAATGTTTCCTATAAGCAAATACACATTTGAATTGCAGTTAAACACCAAAATGTGGCTAAACATCGTAATGCTATGATACAATTGACTCTGTCACCAGTGTCTAAAACATAGTTAATAACTTTTAGTCTCAAACGGTCATTTTGATCTTACCATCATCTGGAAAATCCAAATTTGAAAACATTAAGTACCGTAAAGATTTTAAGTAAACTTTCAGATATTTTCTTGTTATGAATTCAGGACTGTTAAGACATTTTTCATGTAGTCAATGCAATACTGTTCAGTATCTTTTCAGATAATTATGCAAGTAGTTGTGTACAGGTAAATAACAACTACTGAAAAGTCCGAACAAAGACTGACCATATCTTAATTAACTGCAAGCGAATTGTCTGAATATGTACTTAATTTAGCACACTTGTTAAGTTTGAAAGTCGACCAAAAACTGAACGTAACTTATCAATTGATAATAAAGCCTTTTAAGAGCTGTTCAGATCAAAATGACTGTTTCAGTTCAAATTTGGTTTCGTTAGTGATATACTTTTGGCAGGAAAATATTTTGTTAATGCGACTTAACATACCTTAAAAAATATTGGTCTTTAATTGAAATATAACAAAGCTTCATATTTAAGGCAAAATTAAATTAAGACCTTCCTCGTCTAACTATTTACATTATAATTATTACTCTTTATTTTCATGTAAACATTTTTATAAGCTTGTGACAAATAATTATAAAAAAAAAATGAATGTGAATATAAATATAAAATTATATATAAACAAGAAAAAAGCTAAGAGTGTCCTGTGATAAATTTGTTTTAGTTGGTACAGTCAAGTGAAGCTTCAACGACATCCGAAAAGGAGACTGAAGCACTTACATCTGTACGCCAATATTATGCCTTTGTAATAAATGGGGTAAGTTTTCTGTCCTTTGGTCGGGTTGTTGTCACCCATTCCATTCTCAATTTTATGAATCAGTACTGTAACAGACATTTTCTTCAGTGTTTCGTTGATATATGATCTTATAGATAACAATATTTATAAATATCTACCAAACCGAATAATATCTGCGCACTCTATTAGATTTGTCACTTCAGCACAATGGCAATAATTGATAACTGTAAGTCTTATTTAGAATTTTTTTTTGTCATCAATGTCAAATTTACATCCTTCTTTGTTATTATTAGAATAATTTGTATGTTTGTTTGAATTTTTTAGTGAGTTGTGTTGTATGTTTCTAATGTATGTTTACATAGTTGTCGCAGCTGGATATCAATTATTGTCATAATAACCTATAATGTCTGTTTGGGTTGGTAATCTAATTTTGTCAATATAACGGAACTATAAACAACTGCTATAAAAGTTGAATGTTTCGCTAGCTATAAAACAGGTTTAACCTACCACTATTTTCGGAAAATACCTGTACCAAGTCAGTAATATGCAGAAGATTTTCATGTGTTCCGTTGATTGATAGCGTTTAATTTTGTCAGTTTTTATGGAATTCCCCTTTTTTTTTAATTTGCCTTGGAGTTCGGTATTTTTGTAATACTTTCATATTATATTTAAGATCTTAGTTTTACAGTTTTTGCAATTAATGGCTTTTTTAATTGCATTGTATCTTTTGCTCATATTAATTATTAAATGCTTTGTCTTAAACACAAGTAATTTGTGATTGTAATTTAATCAATGGCAATTGGTATATATCTCCATCCGTGATCTGATTGTAATACATATCATGTGTCCATGCTTTGTTTACGAGGAGAATAATTCTTGTAAGTAATGCGTGGAAACCAGTCTTGTATTTTTATCAAATAAATCCAATAACCGTTACTATTATTGATATGGGTCACGGTTGTAGAGGCTTGATCATATCCAACTAAAAAGCATACGTTTTAAATTTATTTTTGATATATAGCTTTTTCAATCATCCATCGATCAATACAATATTATATTGGTGTCTCGGAAAGATAATTGTTGCATTGAAAACGGTATAAACTTATTCTCTATGTAATTCATATATTTGATTAATATTGTTGTACTGGCAAGATGAAATCACTCGTTTCAAAAATAAAACTTACGTAGTCAGGGATGCTTCTTTCTTTATTGTAAAAGAAAAGTACAGTTAGATAGCACCAGAATATATTGTATGACAGTGATTCAAATAAATCTTTTCTTCTTAGGAAACAAAAATCATCACGCAATAAATCAATGACCAAACATTTACTGATTAAATTGACTGATTGAATTAAAAACAAAATACATATGAATAAAACTAATTATTACAATCAGATGCAAAAAACAACATAGTTATAAATTGTTCTAATGAGCATGCACTGTTGGAACGAAAGATGAAAATTCCAACAACCGATACTGATCTTTTATTAAATCAAACATTTTAAATGCTATTTTAAAACTGGGTGTAAATATACATGCTCATTACAACTGGGTGTAAATATACATGCTCATTACAATAAACATTTCAGATGGATGCTATGTATAAGAATATCCAGACGTCAGATTATACAATATCGGTCTTATTTGCTGGGATAGTTATATCACAGGTATATTTGAAATTAAATTTTCAGGGTTTCAGTATAGATTAAACGATAGGTTTTAGCCCGATTTAATTTGATCATTGGGATTAATTGTATCGATCGAAGGATCGGATGTTGTTATTTTTTTTTTTTTTTTGGCTTTATGTTTCTTGCTAAACTTTCTGATTGAATCATTCTCATTAAAATCCTTAAAGTATTATTATATTAACCATTATCATTTCCCTAACATCAAATAAGCACTGATATTCTAAACAAAAGACTTCACCATGGCACAAAAAATGACAAAAAGACAAACAACAGTCTAAAAAACGTCCGAAAACAACAGGTTGAACAAAACTTACCGAACTAAAACTTTGGATTAACCAAGGTGCTACGGAAAGTAAACAGCTCCTGTTCCACTTGTGGCAACTGTTGTTTTGCTAAAGGCAAATACGAGGTTATGAGTTACATTTCAATGGTAAGGCACTTTTGATGCTACATTCAAAGCAGGAAGTATGGCTATTTGAACTTTATTTTGTGTACACGAGTGATAACTAGCCGAGGATCATTTGACGTGATTTGCAGGATGAATGAATAGACAGTCAAATCCGGCTATGGGTATAAAATATGGGGTACATTTTGGGCGAATTGAAGAAATAACCCTTTATCATTGTCTGAAAGTGACCCGTTGGAAACAGAATGTTCTTATCAGACATCCTCTGAGTAACATCTTGCTCTTTCGACAATCTTAATTTATTACAAAACCAAGGGCATAATACATTCTACGATAATTTATATTTTATTTTATGTGTTCTTCTACTTAATATACTTTAAAGATAATTGCAGTAAATGATAAAATTTTGAATATGACACGTACACGGCAAAATTTGCTCACGTGAATTTCACATGAATCTCACATGAAACTTATGTGAAAAATTTCACGTCAGATTAACCTCAAACGAGCTTATAAATGAATCTCGAATGAAAATTTTCATGTTAATTTTTCGTGAATTGAGATTCACTTGAATCTCACGTGAAATTTTTCACATGAATTTCACGTGAACTTTGCAAATAAAAACATAGGTATTTTCCATGATTTTAATTCAACTTGAAAATTTAGATGTTATTTGAATTCCTTTATTTTAAAAATTCACTTGAATTTCACGCGAAAAAAAATCATGTGATTTTCACGTTAAACTCACATGAACTAATTTCACGTGAGTTTTCATTCGTTTGATGTGTTTGAGTTTTTGATTTTGCCATTCGATTAGGGACTTACCTTTTGAATTTTCCTAGGAGTTCAGTATTTTTGTGATTTTACTTTTCAAGTATAAGCTCGTTTGAGGTGAAAATCCACGTGAATTTCACGAGACATTTACATGAATTCATGTGGAATTGATGTGAGTGAAATTTGCCTGTGTACCTCAAATTTGTATACATGAGAGCAAAGCGATAGACAGTTCTCATGAGGAATTATACATTATGGCGAATTTACGAAACTTCAAAATAATGTCGACTTAGATTCTGGTTACTTGTACTGAAACCGATCTCATTTTGAAGTTAATAAACGACATACAGAAGCTGATTTATTAGCTGTGATTATTTAATACATATACCGAAGCGTTTCCTAAAAACCCAAAATAAAAGCACAATATGCCAAATTGAGGTGAGAATTCGTGAACAGTTTGATATCTCTTAAATGTGGTTGTACGATGGATCCCTTTCAGTCCCCAAAGAAAAATTGCCACCAGTCTTTAATGATGAAGATACAATGTATATGCGACCGCAAACCTAGTAATTTAGTTTGTCGTGTTAAAAAGAATTGACTTTTTTTTTTCTACCGTAGAACTGGGTCAACTTTTAATAAATCAGGATAGCCTATAAGTTTTAAGTTATAATCAAATTTATTTCTTTAAACAGACGCCAAATGACGCCCCATGGACTGAAAGTATTAAGAATACCGCTGTATCACCATACACAGTTGATTCAGGAGAATGTTTGAACAAATTTACTGCATGGATTAATACAAATTCATCACATTTACCAGAAAGAGACCATACTATGTTATTTACCAGGTACCACCTACCACTACATTATTTTAACTCTTTCAATTTATAAGTTTCATCACTGGTACACATTATCAGCTAGATTAATATTTTCATTGCACCTCATCGATGAGATTTCTTAAATGTAAATGTTACTTACAAATCGTATATTTTATTTTTTAATTATATTTTATAACTTATAACAATGTCCAGTGTTTAAACTAGTATCCCATATGTCATAGAAAATTAAGTAAATAATTGGAATTTGCAATTAAAAAACAACTTATACATTGAAAAAGCTGTATTAACTTTTTTTATTAGGATGTGCATTTACAAAAGAGAGAGACGGGGGAGTAGGGGGATACATAACTTATAAGTCGAAGAAAAACTGACAAAGCTTTGCAAAATTGGCCCAAAACACTACAGAAAAAAATAAAGATTGGACGGCACATGTAAATTGTTTGATAAATAGATAACAAAGGACCATTGGTGACAAACAGGACACAATATAGGCATAAAACAAAATGTTAATTTACCAATTTATTTGAACTGTTCCGACTTCTTTTAACCTTTCAGTAAACTTTAAAGCAAAACTTGTATTCCGTTCTAGCAAAGTGCGATTTTTCTGATTTCAAATATTTTAAAATAATGAACTGTTAAAGTTGTTTGAATTCATGCAATTAAGATAACTAACAGGCTAAAGGTTTTAATATGTAAATGCATGTTGTATAGGGGAATCCACTGTTACAAAAGTAGTATTCTTGCTGTAATAAATTTGTATGATATCAATGAGATAAAACGATACGTGTTTCAATAAGATAGACATTTATTTTGTAGGTATGACTTATCATATCGGGGATCAACTTCAAATCTTGGTATGTATAAAGGAGAGTTATGAAATATTGTAGGAATAAATAGTAAGTCGGAGCAGTTTAAGTTAACTCGGCCACTGACTTACACATTATTACAGCACTGAGTCGATATGTCTGCTTGTTGACTATCAGTCCCAAAGGGTATCTTCAGCTCAGTAGTCAGTTCTCCAGAACTGACATGATTTATAAAATTGTCCGTTTATTGATTTCTAAATCATTAAGAAACTAAGGTTTCAACTCCTTCATGCGAAATAATTTTTGAAGGATTTTGTCTTTTATCTTTAGGTCCTTATTGATCATTTAACTTTTCAAGTGTTTCGATTCTTACAAAAAAAGGTATAATATCAAAAAACCGAACTCCGAGGAAAATTCTAAACGGAAAGTCCTTAGGCAAATTGCAAAGTTAAAAGCTCGAACACCTCAAACGAATGGATAACAACTGTCGTATTCCTGACTTGGTACAGGCATGTTCTTGTAGATAATGGTAGATTAAACCTGGTTTTATAGCTAGCTAAACCTCTCATTTGTATGACAGCCGCATACAATTCCATTATATTGACAAAGTTGTGTGAACAAAACAAACAGACGCAATAGGTAAAAATGTCAAAAATCGGGGTACAGCAGTCAACAGAGTGTTATAATCTAAATCACTATAAAAACAAACAAATCTGTCAACAAAGAAAAACAAAAAGGCATATAGACAAAGCACATTATCAAAAACGAATGACATGAATAAAAAAAATTACCATGGCACAATAACACAATGACGGGATGCATAAGTACCGAGCCCCGTCAAATGAATATAACCAATTATATACTTAGCAGTAAAAGCAATAAACCATTGGCTTTCAAATATTCGGATTTGAACATTTGATAAGGTGCTTTCGGTCCGAGATTTGCTTTTTGTCCGGTTTTGTTTTTTGTCCGATAATTTTGCTTTTTGTCCGACATTTTTGCTTTCTGTCAGTGGCTTTCGGTCCGTTTTGCTTTTTGTCCGATAATTTTGCTTTTGGTTTGACACTTTGGCTTTTTGTCTGTTTCGCTTTTTTGTTCTACTTTTTTCCTTTTAATACAAATTAAATACAAACCTTATTTCTATAAATGAGTGGTACATGGAGTATCTATTTTATATACTAATCTGATCAATATGTTCTGAGTTTGCCGCTGGTAAAGTCAAGCATGCTTTAAGTAACCATACGCTTTGATTAAAAATAATTCATCATAAATATTTAGACGATCGTTGCAATACGTCTATCTTTATATTTGAAGGAAATTTCGCCGGAGAAGAAAGCCACAGGATGCGAAACATAGGAATTCAAATCCGGCGTTACTATCTTTCGTTGTAATTTTTGTCTCGCCTGCGTCGAAGGTAGCGGAATGCTAGACTAAGGAATTGCTTTTCAGGCGACGACAATTGTTCAGTTTTCTGCTTAAGTTAAGTTTGATAGGAACTACTTGTGATAGATGATTGTTATTTGATATAAAGTTGCATTACAATCAGTACACATCAGTTTGACGACTATTTTGAGGCCTTGCCTGCTAGGTCATGGTCCAGTTGTTATGATATTGTAACTATCATGTTTATTTATCTTGGCCTAATTGGTTTTGTTTGGTCTTTTAAAATGTATTATTTGTTACATAATACGTATAGTTGTTTAACAAATAATATTACAGATTTCCGGTGTTACCACTTCAAACACCTGTTTGAAACTATAGATCCTTTTACACAGAGACATATATGAACGTTAAAATACTAAATCCCTGGGATATGTTTTAGTTGATTTCAGTCTCTGATGCATGATGTTTTATTATTAATTGTTTTGGCTTTTAACTAGCTGTCAGTAACTGCAAGAACTCTTAAATCATACTTTCTTTTTAATTTGACCTTTTTTTAATGCTTTTTTTTATTTAATGTTAACATGGATCTTGTCTATATACCAGCTTTGATTATTTGGTATTACTACAAGTTTTCACTTATTCGTACTATGAACATCAAAATTAATTCATTTCTCCTTAAATTCTAGCAGCTGTACAGGAAGTTTTATCTAGCACTTATTGTATAGTTTTATTGTTGATATTCACCCCATATGTACCAAGTGTTAAATTAGTTTGATTGATATTAAAGAAATTTCTTGGTATTCCTAAACGGAAGATTTTATACACACAGAAGAAGTATACTTAACAAAAAAATTATTTTCATTTACCTTTCAAAAGTGATGATTTTCTAAATATTGTTTAACATTTCACAATGGTATCATACTTTAACTTTGTTTCAACCTGTTTATTTACTTTTGACCTTAATTATTTATCCCTTATAATTTTATCAACTATGTAGTTGCATTCAGGTATCACAAATCAAATTTATTCGTTCATTGTGTGTTAATTTACGTTTTTTGATTGAGTTAAGCCTTCCAATTGATATTTTATAGTGTGCCTTTCTATGTTGTGATGTTATACTATTGTTTCAGAAGAGGGACGAATGATACCAGAGGGACAGTCAAACTCATAGATCGAAAACAAACTGACAACGCCATGGCCAAAAAATAAAAAGACAAACATATAAATAAAAGTACAGATGACACAAGATAGAAAACTAAAGACTAAGCAACACGAACCCCACCAAAAACTGGGGGTGATCTCAGGTGCTCCGGAAGGGTAAGCAGATCTCAGAAAAGGGAGAAGGTTTGGTACCATTAAAACGTTTAGTCCCGCTGCTAATGTTTGCACCTGTCCTAAGTCAGGTATATGATGTAGTTGTCGTCTGTTTTTTGTAGTTCGTACGTGTTTCTCGTTTCTCGTTTTTATATAGATTAGACCGTTGGTTTTCCAGTTTGAATGGTATTACACTAGTAATTTTTGGGGCCCTTTATAGCTTGCTATTCGGTATGAGCCAATGCTCCGTGTTGAAGGCCGTACCTTGACCTATAATGGTTTTCTTTTATAATTGTTTCTTGGATGGAGAGTTGTCTCATTGGCACTCATACCACATCTTCTTATATCTATATACCACATTCTAAACTGTTCCACTCTGTTATATCCTTCTTCAGCGATATCTTTTTCTATATAACGGCACAAAATTTGCATCATGAAACCGTTGAAGTTTTTCATTTAAATCTTGAAAGGTTATATTACCTATTCAATGATCATAAACTGGACAACATGATCATTCGTATCCATACTTAAGAATAATGAGATATTTCCATCAACCCCCTATGGAAAAATTTACCGTCATATTGGTCAATAAAACTGGAAGTTTAATCGTGCAATTGTTTAAATTTATTTCAGATTGTTCTCAAATCAAACATTTTTTTAGAACAGTGCCTGTCTGAATATATTTTGCGGGTAACAATAACTGCAGGCAACCATTAAAAAAAATGATATTATTGTTACTTCCAATTTCCGTATGGAATCAGGTCCCTGTCTGAAAATGCTTTAGGTAAACAATCACGGAAATACAATGATTATTTCTTATTGCTCTTTTTGACCAGTAACGGTAGCCAGTTCCGTTATAAAAATAGGAAGGGCTGTTTTCGATAGAGAGTAACTCATTTGTAAAAAACAAGTGCACACAATCGATGTTACGATTAGAATAGTAAGATAAAGAATTTAGGCCGTCTCACGTATGACTCAATTACATACATGTACGTCGAGCGAGTTGGTGCACATCCACTCTATTTCTTTGCTCATTCGGTACACTTAAATTGTACGATCGAGTCTAACTTACTTTTTATACGACTGCAATGTTTGTGTTCGTATTATGTTATGGAGATGTCTGCATCGTCGTAGTCCGAAGACATTTGTCGTCAGAAGACATTTTGGTTTCCAAACAATAAATTGAGTATAAGTGAATGGATCTTTATGAAATTTTACCACAATGTTCCATACTTCGAAAGAAAAAAACAAATAACCCAAGTTTGACAAAAATGAAGGAATGAACCATAACAATAAGATGTTGTATAATTGCCAATGAGGCAACTTTCCACAAGAGACCAAATGGCGTTGACTAAAGCAACCATAGCTATGTTGCTGTACGTATAAAAGGCCAAAAATAACAAGAAAACACGATTCAAAACGAATTTGATAGACAGACAAAAGACAACTGTTGAATTGCAGGATCCTAACTTTTGACACGCTTATATAATACTAGCATGAGTCGAGGTTACACATGTTTTCTGGATACAAACCCCCCTCCTCCCTTTATCTTGAAAATTGGTGTAACTCTTCCGAATTATTTTTAAACTTTAGGGCCTGTGTGGCCGAGTGATCCAAGTAGTTCATCGATAGTAATCACTAGCGTGTCAATACTGAGGTTGTAAGTTTATGCTGATGTGCTCAACTGTAATTATTATTTACTAGGGTTACATGTTTTGCTGCAGAAAATCGATAGTTCTATTACTACATCACATATACACATTTTTATATCGGACATAAAGCAAAATCATCGAAAAAAACAAAACGGACCGAAAGCAACGGACAAAAAGCAAAAGTATCGGACCAAAAGCTAAATAATCGGACAAAAAGCAAAGCGGACCGAAAGCAACGAAAAAAAGCAATAGTGTCTGACGAAAAGCAAAATTATCATAAAAAAAGCAAAACGGATCGAAAGCAACGGACAAAAAGCAAAAGTTTCAGACAAAAAGAAAAATTATCGGACAAAACGCAAAACTGGACAAAAAGCAATTGTCGGACAAAGAGCACCGTATCAAACGTTCCTGATGAAGATAAATCCAGAAAAGAGTTTCGGACGCATGAAGCTAATAAATTGTAGCTTTAATTTCTTTCACATCTAATTAAACCTGAAGGACTTGGATACTTTTTTGTTAATATAATGAGTGAAAAGCAACATCTACACTGACAGAACTATTTTGCCAGACTGAGTGCATTTTTACTATTGGCGTTATGAATTCGGTTGTAAGAATTTGTTATTATGACGCTATTCAATAAAATAAGACTTTAAGTGTAACATTGGAAGTATGAAATAAATTTTATGTACACATTATATTACAGATCTACATTGAAAATAATATAATTTCAAGGAATAAACTTTAATGAGACAGTTACGTAACTGCATATTTGCCTGAATCTCAGAATTACACCTCCATAATTAAATAATAGGTATAGAGAATCTGGTATAAAACCTTGGAATAAAAAAAAAAAGAAAAAAAAATAGAAAAAGAGGAAGAATAAGGACAAAAAGAATGGAATAACAAAAAAAAATTATTAATTTGGGGATGAGTGATATCGTTTTTCTTCAACTTTATTGGGCCTTTTATTCTTTTTTATCCGAGCGTCACTGATGAGCCTTTTGTAGACAAAAGCACTTTGTTATTTTTCTATAGATGTTAGCCTACCAGTACATGTGGGATTGTTTCATTATTGCTTAAATCAAACGAATGCGTTATCGGTGTTTTCCTTTAAATCTCTTATTAAAAAAGAACCATTATTCATCTTATCTTAACATTAGCACTTTACATCGAGCAAACCTACAAACTTTGAATTATCTACATGGTTTGAGTTAGATATAAAAATCTATAATGTTCTCTCCCCTAAAAAAAGTGATTAACAGAAAGTGGCTATTTACAGTGTAACATCACGGGTAGTAACGTCGACATATTAAGGAACATCAAGTACAGTGATTTTGTCATAATTTGGGCGAGTTGGACATGGCTGAAGGGTTTTAAATGACAAACAATGACACAATATAAAAATTCAGATTTTTTGCTAAATGAACTTCTAAGCATGAAGTTTAATTCGAATTTGTATCATATAGTTCATAATCTGACACAGAATAACGTTTGCGCATATTTAAAGATTACTGACAATTCATTGTCATGGTTTACTTCAGTAGCGTCATGGTTTAGTAAATGTTCGACATGGTTCAGTTGTGCTATCGGTGCTCATTTGTTTATTGGCAGAGGACGCCGGAGGGCCTGGAGATAACCACTGACTTTTTCGCGTTTAATCTTTTCTATTCTATTTTGCGGCAATATAATGTCGCCATTTTCTAATGGTGTTGTTTTGTATATGTACGAATAGATCTAAGTTTCACATATTTTCGTTGATTTTCTACTTGCGAATATGAAATATGAATCGCTCTACAACATATACCGTTAACAATATATTTAAGATATTAGCGTCATAGAATACGCATGTATAAAAAATCAGGATGATAATATACTAATGCGTTTCAATGGTAACTTTAATGTCGTAACTTTCTTTAGAGGTCACATCAAGTCAGAACTGTCTTTGTTTTTCGTCCGCTGACTGATAGGTTTTTTGCTGTTTGACATTTCGTCACGAGATATTACGATCCCAGTAGTCAACACTCCTGCACTGACATTGGATATCAGTTATACAGTCATTTTCTGTAATTTACCATTAATAAAAAAAGAAATTTCTGCTCATATGCATAAATGTATGGAATATTTGGTTTTCATTGCTCTTCAAATTTTAATCATTTTTTCCGAATGTTTAGATGTGGGCACCATCGACGAGTCACAT